AAGAGGATATGCATAATCGCCCTTTTCTTCTCCCTCTTATTTTCTTTGTTCTCACTCCCCCTTTCTTTTGTTTGCCCTGACTATCTGCGTGAATGAATATGCGTCGATAGAAAACACTCGTATAAATAGTTAGTTTTTTTTTTAGTAATAATATTATTGTTTCAGATGTCTCTTCGTGATCAAAATGGAAACAGTATTGGTGGTGGTGCTGATGATGAACTCGAACTACGAAATAATCTAGCATCAACTGGTCGATTAAATAAATTATCAGAACCTGTTTATTCAAAAGAACATAAAAAATATGCTCATTGTACAGTACTATTTTCATTGGGACAAACTTCTTATGGAACATCATTACAAGTTTCTGCTTCAGTTTCTAATATGGTAAATAGTTTGTATAATAATATTAAATAGTCAGTTGCTTTTAATAAAGTATAAGATTCTCATTTTTTTTGCAGGTTCGTCCATGTCCGAAACCAACAAAAATTAAATTAGATATGAAAACAAATATGGAAACAAAAATTGTTACAAAACATTATCTACCTGAAACAGGTTTTTTCAATGATAGATTTTATTAATATTTTTATATCTGTATTTCTAGCTGAAATTCTTATGCCATCTGATATACAATATGGTATTGATGTATCTAATCGTCGTGTTTTATTTGATGCTGATGAAATAAAAGCAATAAAAAAATTTAGTGATCCCGGTTTTCAAATACTTGGCTTTAAAAATATTTCATGTTTATTACCACATCGTTATGCTAAACCCGATGATTTTATTTATCCCGATGAAAAATATGTGGAAGGAAGTTCATGTTTATTTAATGCATTATTAAAAGAATGTTTAGAAAAACAAATGTTTATTCTATGTTAATTTACTGCAAGACAAAATACACCATCACCCCAGGTCAAACAAGCGCGATCGTATACGGAGAAATACGACCTTGCACGACCGTACTTTGCCGTATTACCTGAGGCCGTATTACGATCGTATGTCTCCGTGTCGTAAACGAAAAAATACGCTCTTTTACGACCGTTTTTCTCCGTAAACGATCATACTTTTCCGTATACGGTACGGAGACATACGATCTAAATACGGCCTCAGGTAATACGGTAAAAAATAGTGAAATACGGTCGTATATGGTCGTATTCAATCGTTTACGAAGTTCGTAATAATCGACCTGGGATTATTCCACAAGCTGAAGAAATCAATAAAAAAGATCCCAGTGATCGTATAGCATCAAATGGTTTTCATGTACATTATTTACCGTATGCTGATGATATACGGACTTTACCAAAGAATGATATACCACATATAACCAATGATGAAGTTGATGTATTTGAAAATATACTTCTTGGTTTAACAATTAAATATCGTCCTGATAGATTTGAAAATCCTGCTTTACAAACATTATGGATAGACATGTACCGAGCCCCGAGCCTCTCGGGCTTGGGTAGGCTCGGGGCTCGATCAGGGCTCGGGCTCGGGGCTCGGTCAAGGCTCGGGTGTCAGATTGATGTAGGAGTGAGTTTTTGACACCTGATCCCGACCGACCCCGAGCCTACCAAACCACGAGCCCCGAGCCCGAGAGGCTCGGGCTCGGTACATCCCTACATCGGATCTCACAATTTCCAACAAACGGATCTAGACGGATCCGATAGGTGACCATAAGGCCATCATAGAATATAGCCAAAAACGCCGCTCATCAAATTTGCAGCAAATGACTGAAAATTTTCTGACGGAATTCAATGCAAATCCGTCACCAGGAATCCTATCGGATTCTATCGGATGATCGGATCCTACGTTGGATTGGTTGACCTGGATAGTAACTAAATATATTGGTCTTTAGGCTGACACAGCTGCTACATCAAGTAACGACGAAATAAAGAAACCAGACGATAATGTTAATCTTAGTGCTGTTGATTTTGATTTTGAAGACGATGATTATAATTTTTCAGCTTTTGATTTTGTAACTGAAAATGGTAATGATGGTTTTGACCCCACCACTGGAGCAGAGGTAAAATTAAAATACTCACATTTTTTTTTCTTAATGCTTTGTATTTAGATTAAGAGACTCAAAATACAAATTGAGACCATCAAAGAACAAACTAAAAACTCCAAGAAACAAGATGAAAAAGTAGATTTGAAAAAATAATTACGTGAATGTTCAAAACAGATGAAAACTTTGAAAGAACAACAAAGTAAACAAATTATTGTTCTCGAATTTTCAAAAAAAATAATTTTTTTAGAACACGAGAACATAGAAAATTTATAAATACAACAGCTTCTCAATATATACATATATAAATTTTTTTGTAAATAATTAATAATTAAAATAAATATGTACCACACAATACCATGTTAATAATTAAGTAAAAATGAATAATATATTTAGCGTTACTAGTAATATTAATAAAGGATACAGTGTAGGAGATATTATATTAATTAAAGATCATTTAAATTTTCCTAATCTCGCTGGTAATAATCCACTTATTAGACATAATGATGAACGGTAATAACCCATGTCTTCAAAATCGCCAAGGTTTGGGCGACGAATCGTGATTTTTCAAAATATTGACGATTATATCGCCAGTAAGAAATACTTATTTTGTCGGAATCATTACGAATCAAGACTTTTCGACAAAAAATCGACAAAAAGTCCTTAATTTTGGCGATTGTTCCCCGATTTTGATGACATGGGAAATGAAACATCATTTAGTCTGTCATAATAATGAATTGTATACAACTGTTGAATATCCACATCTTATTTCACTATGTCTAGAATATACTTATATTCATTATACCGAACAATTTCTCAATCAGAGCAAAACACATCTACCACAGCTGACCACATTAAGTGTCGACTATAGTAAATTAAAATTCGTAACACAAAACTTCACAAGAAATGCAACGCGCCGTAATTGTGCTCGATTACAACAAATAGACTTTAAAAAAATAATAGTACACACAGAAGGGTTCTATGATTATTTTCCTCTCTTGTAATCTTGTTTTTTTGGTTATAATTGTACTAATAAAATAAATACTAAACAGATTTCAATAATCATTAGCTTTATAGTCCGATAACAGTAAACAATAACTGTTAGAAATGTTTAAGATTTTTTCTAATCTATCATTGACAAACAACTTGTTATAATTAGACTTCAATTCAATAAAAGAGAAGAGATAAAACTATTATTGAATTGAAACTCTCTCTTGTTAAATTATG